CTTACACACACACACATGCACACACACCAGCCTCTTACACACACACCCGCCTCTTACACACACACACACACACATGCACACACACCAGCCTCTTACACACACACACACACACCAGCCTCTTACACACACACACACATGCACACACACCAGCCTCTTACACACACACACCCGCCTCTTACACACACATACATGCACACACACCAGCCTCTACACACACACACATGCACACACACCAGCCTCTTACACACACACACACACATGCACACACACCAGCCTCTTACACACACACACATGCACACACACCAGCCTCTTACACACACATACATGCACACACACCAGCCTCTTACACACACACACACACACACATGCACACACACCAGCCTCTTACACACACACACATGCACACACACCAGCCTCTTTCACACACACACACGCACACACACCAGCCTCTTACACATACATGCACACACACCAGCCTCTTACACACACACATGCACACACACCAGCCTCTTACACACACATGCACACACACCAGCCTCTTACACACACACACATGCACACACACCAGCCTCTTACACACACACACATGCACACACACCCGCCTCTTACACACACACCAGCCTCTTGCACACACACACACACATGCACACACACCCGCCTCTTACACACACATACATGCACACACACACCAGCCTCTTACACACACACACACATGCACACACACCAGCCTCTTACACACACCAGCCTCTTACACACACACACACACACACACATGCACACACACCAGCCTCTTACACACACACACACATGCACACACACCAGCCTCTTACACACACACACACATGCACACACACCAGCCTCTTACACACACACACACATGCACACACACCAGCCTCTTACACACACACACACACACACCAGCCTCTTACACACACACATACATGCACACACACACCAGCCTCTTACACACACACACACACATGCACACACACCCGCCTCTTACACACACATGCACACACACACCAGCCTCTTACACACACATACATGCACACACATACATGCACACACACCAGCCTCTTACACACACACACATGCACACACACACCAGCCTCTTACACACATGCACACACACCCGCCTCTTACACACACACACATGCACACACACCCGCCTCTTACACACACATACATGCACACACACACCAGCCTCTTACACACACACACATGCACACACACACCAGCCTCTTACACACACACACATGCACACACATATACATGCTCTGTCAACTGTGTAACACCTCTCTATGTGTGTCTGTATTTACTATTTGTCTCTTCAGAATCTAGCTATTAGCTCTTGGACCCCGACTTTCTAACCAAACTATTTTTCCTCTTATATCTGCTACATATATTTCTCTCTATCACACACACCCACACCCACAGGAAGCAGCCCGTGGCAGTTGTCTAACTCCCAGGTACCTATTTACTGCTGGGTAAACAGGGGGATCAGGATGAAAAAACTCGGCCCATTTGTTTCTGCCTCCGCCGGGAATCGAACCCGGGCCATTAGAATTACAACCTCCAGGCGCTATCCAATCAGCCGCGAGACCCTCCTCTGTGTGTACTCACCTAGTTGTGCTTGCGGGGGGTTGAATTTTAGCTCTTTGGTCCCGCCTCTCAACCATCAATCAATTGATGTACAGATTCCTGAGCCTACTGGGCTCTATCATATCTACACTTGAAACTGTGTATGGAGTCAGCCTCCACCACATCACTTCCTAATGCATGCCATGTATTAACTACTCTGACACTGAAAAAGTTCTTTCTAATGTCTCTGTGGCTCATGTAGGTACTCAGCTTCCATCTGTGTCCACTTGTGCGTGTACCACTCGTGTTAAATAATACATCCTTGTCCACCCTGTCAATTCCCTTGAGAATTTTGTATGTGGTGATCATGTCTTCCCGAGCAGTTCTGTCTTCCAGCGACGTGAGGTGCAGTTCACGTAGTCTGTCCTCATAACTCATGCCTCTTAGCTCTGGGACTAACCTAGTGGTATACCTCTGAACTTTTCCAGCTTCGTCTTGTGCTTGACTAGATACGGGCTTCATGCTGGGGCTGCATACTATAGGATTGGTCTTACATATGTCGTATTCAAGGTTCTGAAGGATTCCATACACAGGTTTTTGAAAGTAGTTCTGATGTTATCCAGCCACACATAGGCCGCTGATGTTATTCTTTTGATGTGGGCTTCGGGAGACAGGTTTGGCGCGATATCAACTCCCAGATCTTTTTCTGTTCGTTTCGTGAAGGACTTCATCTCCCATTCAGTATCCAGTGACTGGCCTCCTAGTGCCTCCTCCTAGTTTCATTACCTTACATTTACTTGGGTTGAACTTTAGTAACCATTTGTTGGACCATTCCTTCAATTTGTCTGGGTCATCTTATAGTCTCATACTATCTTCCTCTGTCTTGATCCTCATAATTTTTGCGTCATCAGCAAACATCGAGAGGAACCAGTCAGTTCCTTCTGGAAGATCATTTACGTATATCAGAAACAGTATAGGTCCAAGGACTGATCCCTGTGGGACTCCACTGGTGACTCCCCGCCACTCCGAGACCTCACCTCTCACGGTGACTCGCTGTGTACTGTTGCTTAGGTACTCTCTTATCCAGTGGAGTACCTTCCCTTTCACTCCTGCCTGCATCTCCAGTTTGTGCACTAGTCTCTTATGTGGTACTGTGTCAATGGCTTTCTGGCAGTCCAGAAATATGCATCTGCCCAACTGCCCAGCCCTCTCTCTCTTGCCTGATTTTTGTGGCCTGGTCATAGAACTCAAACCTGTTAAGCATGATTTGCCATCCCTGAACCCATGCTAATGTTGTGTTACAATGTTCTTCCGCTCCAGATGTTCCACTAGCTTTTATCGCACAATCTTTTCCATCATCTTGCATGGAATGCAAGATAGGGACACTGGCCTGTAGTTCAGTGCCTCCTGCCTTTCACCCTTGTATATTGGGACTACATTGGCCGTCTTCCAAATTTTTGGCAGTTCCCCTGTTGCCAGTAATTTGTTGTACACCATGGAGAGTGGCAGGCACAGTGCTTCTGCTCCTTCCTTTAGGATCCATGGTGAGATTCCATCCAGGCCTACAGCCTTTGTCACGTCCAAATCTAGCAGATGCTTCCTCAGAGAGAGGGTGGATTTGGGTGGTATGGTGGGCATTGTGTGTGCAAGGGAGAATTTGTGTTTGGTGGGGGGAGGGGCTCCTATGGGGTGGCGAGTAGGGGTATTGCAGTCCCCTCTGGGGTTCCCCTCTCCCCTCTGGAATTGTTGAGTTGGAGGCTGAGGTTCCCTGGCTCTCTTCCCTCATCCTGCACCTTTTCCTTCCATCTGCTGCTTGTATTATCTCTTCCCTGGTCATGTCACGCTGAAGGAATACCTTTTTGCAATTCGTTAAATATTTCGTTATATTTCATGTGTGTTTGTGTACTCACCTAGTTGTACACATCTAGTTGTGTTTGCGGGGGTTGAGCTCTGGCTCTTTGGTCCCGCCTCCTATGTGTGTACTCACCTAGTTGTACTCACCTAGTGGTGTTTGTGGGGGTTTAGCTCTGACTCCTTGGTCCCGCCTTCCCTGTGTGTGTGTGTGTGTGTGTGTGTGTGTGTGTGTGTGTGTGTGTGTACTCACCTTGTTGTACTCACCTAGTTGTGTTTACGGGGGTTGAGCTCTGGCTCTTTGGTCCCGCCTCTCAACCGTCAATCAACAGGTGTACAGATTCCTGAGCCTATTGGGCTCTATCATATCTACACATATAGGTGTGTGTGTGTGTGTGTGTGTGTGTGTGTGTGTGGACTCCTTAGTGAACAGTGACTGGCCAGGGTGTTTGCGTATGTGTCTGCCCTTAACTTTCTCTGTGGCTGTACTCCCACGCTAGCATTCTCCCCGCTCCCATGGCCTTAACCTTTACACTGTCTCTACTACCACCACCACTACCACTATCACTATCACCACCACTACCACTACCACTATCACTAGTACCACCACCATTACCACTACCACCACCACCAACATCACCACCACTACCACCACCATCACCACCAACAACACCACCACCACCACTACCAACACCACCACCACCACCACTACCAACACCCACACCACTACCACAGTAGTGGAAACCGGGACAAGTTGAAGCCGTTTTGCTTTTTTCGACGACCCCGAACTTGTCCGGGGAGTTTAACGTTACATGTGACCAAGGCCCCAACCTGTCCGGGGAGTTTAACGTTACATGTGGCCAAGGCCCCAACTTGTCCGGGGAGTTTAACGTTACATGTGGCCAAGGCCCCAACTTGTCCGGGGAGTTTAACGTTACATGTGGCCAAGGCCCCAACTTGTCCGGGGAGTTTAACGTTACATGTGGCCAGGGCCCCAACTTGTCCGGGGAGTTTAACGTTACATGTGGCCAAGGCCCCAACTTGTCCGGGGAGTTTAACGTTACATGTGGCCAAGGCCCCAACTTGTCCGGGGAGTTTAACGTTACATGTGGCCAGGGCCCCAACTTGTCCGGGAAGTTTAACGTTACATGTGGCCAAGGCCCCAACCTGTCCGGGGAGTTTAACGTTACATGTGGCCAAGGCCCCAACTTGTCCGGGGAGTTTAACGTTACATGTGGCCAAGGCCCCAACTTGTCCGGGGAGTTTAACGTTACATGTGGCCAAGGCTCCAACTTGTCCGGGAAGTTTAACGTTACATGTGGCCAAGGCCCCAACTTGTCCGGGGAGTTTAACGTTACATGTGGCCAAGGCCCCAACCTGTCCGGGGAGTTTAACGTTACATGTGGCCAAGGCCCCAACTTGTCCGGGGAGTTTAACGTTACATGTGGCCAAGGCCCCAACTTGTCCGGGAAGTTTAACGTTACATGTGGCCAAGGCCCCAACTTGTCCGGGGAGTTTAATGTTACATGTGGCCAAGGCCCCAACTTGTCCGGGAAGTTTAACGTTACATGTGGCCAAGGCCCCAACTTGTCCGGAAGTTTAATGTTACTTGTGGCCAAGGCCCCAACCTGTCCGGGAAGTTTAACGTTACATGTGGCCAAGGCCCCAACTTGTCCGGGGAGTTTAATGTTACTTGTGGCCAAGGCCCCAACCTGTCCGGGAAGTTTAACGTTACATGTGGCCAAGGCCCCAACTTGTCCGGGGAGTTTAACGTTACATGTGGCCAAGGCCCCAACTTGTCCGGGGAGTTTAACGTTACATGTGGCCAGGGCCCCAACTTGTCCGGGGAGTTTAACGTTACATGTGGCCAAGGCCCCAACCTGTCCGGGGAGTTTAACGTTACATGTGGCCAAGGCCCCAACTTGTCCGGGGAGTTTAACGTTACATGTGGCCAAGGCCCCAACTTGTCCGGGGAGTTTAATGTTACATGTGGCCAAGGCCCCAACTTGTCCGGGGAGTTTAACGTTACATGTGGCCAAGGCCCCAACTTGTCCGGGGAGTTTAACGTTACATGTGGCCAAGGCCCCAACTTGTCCGGGGAGTTTAACGTTACATGTGGCCAAGGCCCCAACTTGTCCGGGGAGTTTAACGTTACATGTGGCCAAGGCCCCAACTTGTCCGGGAGTTTAACGTTACATGTGGCCAAGGCCCCAACTTGTCCGGGGAGTTTAATGTTACATGTGGCCAAGGCCCCAACCTGTCCGGGGAGTTTAACGTTACATGTGGCCAAGGCCCCAACTTGTCCGGGGAGTTTAACGTTACATGTGGCCAAGGCCCCAACTTGTCCGGGAGTTTAACGTTACATGTGGCCAAGGCCCCAACTTGTCCGGGGAGTTTAACGTTACATGTGGCCAAGGCCCCAACTTGTCCGGGGAGTTTAATGTTACATGTGGCCAAGGCCCCAACTTGTCCGGGTCCATTTTAGTTACCTCGGCGAGCGATTTCTCACCTTCAAGCCCCTAAATTTCGCTGTTAATATTGAGAAGGACCTCTTTATCCCCCTTACTTATCTGGGAGCTTCATATATATGGTGTCCAGCCAAAGGTCGTTCATTGAGCATTGGAATGAATGAAATCCCTCATCACAGATTAGTATGAAACAAGGGAAGCAACACAGAGCATGAACTAACATGTGTCACAGCATTCACCCCTGTTACCAAACCAGTATTTACCCACGTCTTTATCCTAAATCGAAACTTATCCAATTTATACCCATTGTTTCCTGTTCTGTCTCGTGTTAATACTGTTAATAGACTATTAATATTCCGTTTGTTATGTACAATCATCCACTTGCACGCCTCTGTCATGTCTCTCACCCTTATTCTTCCCCTTTCTTGAGAATGTAATTTATGCTTTGTCAATCTTTCTTCAAGGATCGTTTATCGACCATAGTGATATAATAATAATAATCCACATGTGCCATTCGTGTGCAGCAGACCCAGACATGGGAACACTACTGAGCCCCTGTTGAAGTCTCCAAGTGTGTGATGATTATCTTGAGTTGATTTCGGGGCTTTAGTGTCCCGCGGCCCGGTCCTCGACCAGGCCTCCACCCCCAGGAAGCAGCCCGTGACAGTTGACTAACACCCACGTACCTATTTACTGCTAGGTAACAGGGGCATTCAGGGTGAAAGAAACTTTGCCCATTTGTTTCTGCCTCGTGCGGGAATCGAACCCGCGCCACAGAATTACGAGTCCTGCGCGCTATCCACCAGGCTACGTGGCCCCCTATGTTATTATATATGCACTTATGTTATATAATTTGTCAAAATAGGCTACAACATCACTCAGACATTATGATTTATTCCTCCCTCAGTGATAGTCGTGTGTACGTCTCGTAATAGCTCAAAGCCATGCCCCCCCCCCCCACACCCCACTATAGCATATATCCATATATGCCCAATCAAAATACTCATATATGTTGCACCTAGTAGCCAGAACGTCGTACTCGGCCTTCTATACAAAGCCCGATTTGCCTAATAAGCCAAGTTTTCCTGAATTTACATATTTTTCAATATTTTTTTCTTATGAAATAATAAAACTATCCATTTCATTACGTATGAGTTAATTTTTTTAAATTTGAGTTTAAACTAACGTAGATATATGACCGAACTAACCAACCCTACCTAACCTAACCTATCTTTATAGGTTAGGTTAGGTTAGGTAGCCGAAAAAGTTAGGTTAGGTTAGGTAGGTTAGGTAGTCGAAAAAACATTAATTCATGAAAACTTGCCTTATTAGGCAAATCGGGCCTTGCATAGTAGGCTGAGAAGTGCGTTCTAGCTACTAGGTACGACATATATATATATATATATATATATATATATATATATATATATATATATATATATATATATATATATATATATATATATAACCGAAAAAGTAAGATTAATAATTCTAACACGAATTTTCTCAATCTTTCGTACATTATGCTTCACTGTTGGAGGTAAATCAAAAATCACTTCTCCAAAATTCATTTTTATTTCTAGTCTGACGCGACACGGGCGCGTTTCGTAAAACTTATTACATTTTCAAAGACTTCACAAATACACAACTGATTAGAACTTACGTATCTCTGATTTTATATCTACATTTGAGTGAGGTGGGAGGGGTGATGTGGCATTAACACAAGACAGAACAAGAGGGGATATTAATAGGGTATTAAAAGTACCAACACAAGACAGAACAGAAACAATGGGTATTGAATAGAAGTGTTTGTAGAAAGCCTATTGGTCCATATTTCTTGATGCTTCTATATTGGAGCGGAGTCTTGAGGTGGGTAGAATATAGTTGTGCAATAATTGGCTGTTGATTGCTGGTGTTGACTTCTTGATGTGTAGTGCCTCGCAAACGTCAAGCCGCCTACTATCGCTGTATCTATCGATGATTTCTGTGTTGTTTACTAGAAATCCTAGTAAACAACACAGAAATCATTGATAGATACAGCGATAGTAGGCGGCTTGACGTTTGCGAGGCACTACACATCAAGAAGTCAACACCAGCAATCAACAGCCAATTATTGCACAACTATATTCTACCCACCTCAAGACTCCGCTCCAATATAGAAGCATCAAGAAATATGGACCAATAGGCTTTCTACAAACACTTCTATTCAATACCCATTGTTTCTGTTCTGTCTTGTGTTGATACTTTTAATACCCTATTTATATCCCCTCTTGTTCTGTCTTGTGTTAATGCCACATCACCCCTCCCATCTCACTCAAATGTAGATATAAAATCAGAGATACGTAAGTTCTAATCAGTTGTGTATTTGTGAAGTCTTTGAAAATGTAATAAGATTTACGAAACGCGCCCGTGTCGCGTCAGACTAGAAATAAAAATGAATTTTGGAGAAGTGATTTTTGATTTACCTCCAACAGTGAAGCGTAATGTACGAAAGATTGAGAAAATTCGTGTTAGAATTATTAATCTTACTTTTTCGGTCATATTTAATAATATATGTCTACAGGAAAGACTGCTACCAAAATATACTAATATATATATATATATATATATATATATATATATATATATATATATATATATATATATATATATATATATATATATATATATATATACAATCTTTGGACAACACCCACCAGTGGGACTCGAACCCAGAAAGCACAACTACCTTCCAGTAGCTGGCATAACTAGTATGCTTTAACCCACTACGCCATCAGACCTTACAAAAGAAGTAGATAGTTCGAGATATATATATCTCAAACATCTCTACCTCCCGAAGGCACCAGATGAGTGAGGGGTCAGTCTGCAATTTTCGTCAAGCCACTGTCAATGTGAGAGAACTCGTGTCCAGCTTATAAGCCTATACTTGCATAAACCACAAGTGAAGATAAACAATCTTTGGACAACACCCACCAGTGGGACTCGAACCCAGAAAGCACAACTACCTTCCAGTAGCTGGCATAACTAGTATGCTTTAACCCACTACGCCATCAGACCTTACAAAAGAAGTAGATAGTTCGAGATATATATATCTCAAACATCTCTACCTCCCGAAGGCACCAGATGAGTGAGGGGTCAGTCTGCAATTTTCGTCAAGCCACTGTCAATGTGAGAGAACTCGTGTCCAGCTTATAAGCCTATACTTGCATAAACCACAAGTGAAGATAAACAATCTGTGGACAACACCCACCAGTGGGACTCGAACCCAGAAAGCACAACTACCTTCCAGTAGCTGGCATAACTAGTATGCTTTAACCCACTACGCCATCAGACCTTACAAAAGAAGTAGATAGTTCGAGATATATATATCTCAAACATCTCTACCTCCCGAAGGCACCAGATGAGTGAGGGGTCAGTCTGCAATTTTCGTCAAGCCACTGTCAATGTGAGAGAACTCGTGTCCAGCTTATAAGCCTATACTTGCATAAACCACAAGTGAAGATAAACAATCTTTGGACAACACCCACCAGTGGGACTCGAACCCAGAAAGCACAACTACCTTCCAGTAGCTGGCATAACTAGTATGCTTTAACCCACTACGCCATCAGACCTTACAAAAGAAGTAGATAGTTCGAGATATATATATCTCAAACATCTCTACCTCCCGAAGGCACCAGATGAGTGAGGGGTCAGTCTGCAATTTTCGTCAAGCCACTGTCAATGTGAGAGAACTCGTGTCCAGCTTATAAGCCTATACTTGCATAAACCACAAGTGAAGATAAACAATCTTTGGACAACACCCACCAGTGGGACTCGAACCCAGAAAGCACAACTACCTTCCAGTAGCTGGCATAACTAGTATGCTTTAACCCACTACGCCATCAGACCTTACAAAAGAAGTAGATAGTTCGAGATATATATATCTCAAACATCTCTACCTCCCGAAGGCACCAGATGAGTGAGGGGTCAGTCTGCAATTTTCGTCAAGCCACTGTCAATGTGAGAGAACTCGTGTCCAGCTTATAAGCCTATACTTGCATAAACCACAAGTGAAGATAAACAATCTTTGGACAACACCCACCAGTGGGACTCGAACCCAGAAAGCACAACTACCTTCCAGTAGCTGGCATAACTAGTATGCTTTAACCCACTACGCCATCAGACCTTACAAAAGAAGTAGATAGTTCGAGATATATATATCTCAAACATCTCTACCTCCCGAAGGCACCAGATGAGTGAGGGGTCAGTCTGCAATTTTCGTCAAGCCACTGTCAATGTGAGAGAACTCGTGTCCAGCTTATAAGCCTATACTTGCATAAACCACAAGTGAAGATAAACAATCTTTGGACAACACCCACCAGTGGGACTCGAACCCAGAAAGCACAACTACCTTCCAGTAGCTGGCATAACTAGTATGCTTTAACCCACTACGCCATCAGACCTTACAAAAGAAGTAGATAGTTCGAGATATATATATCTCAAACATCTCTACCTCCCGAAGGCACCAGATGAGTGAGGGGTCAGTCTGCAATTTTCGTCAAGCCACTGTCAATGTGAGAGAACTCGTGTCCAGCTTATAAGCCTATACTTGCATAAACCACAAGTGAAGATAAACAATCTTTGGACAACACCCACCAGTGGGACTCGAACCCAGAAAGCACAACTACCTTCCAGTAGCTGGCATAACTAGTATGCTTTAACCCACTACGCCATCAGACCTTACAAAAGAAGTAGATAGTTCGAGATATATATATCTCAAACATCTCTACCTCCCGAAGGCACCAGATGAGTGAGGGGTCAGTCTGCAATTTTCGTCAAGCCACTGTCAATGTGAGAGAACTCGTGTCCAGCTTATAAGCCTATACTTGCATAAACCACAAGTGAAGATA